TGAGCCCTGAGGTACCCCACTTGTGACATTAATCCAGTTTGATTGAACTACATTTGTAACAACTTTGCTTTCTTCCATCTAGCCACTCTTCCATTCAGTTTGCTAACTTATCCTCCACATCTATAGAGATATTTTTTTACAATCCTTTTATGTGCCACCTTGTCAAATGCTTTCTGAAATATCCAGATACACCAAATCTACACCCTTACTCTCACCTACATAAGCAGTAACCTTTTCAAAGAATGCCAAACTTTTGTAAGGCAAGATTTTCCCTCGGTGAAAACATGTTGATCATCCAATAAAATTCTAAATTTTGTTAAATGACTTTGTAAAGCATCTTTTAACAGACTTTCCAAAACTTTTCCCACAACTGATGTAAGACTAATGGGTCTCTAATTACTGGGACAATTTTTACCACTTCCCTTGAAAAGAGGAGTTACATTAGCTAACTTCCAATCCTCTGGTACCTGCCCACTATTCAAGTACTGACAAAAAAATAGTAATAAGTGGCTCACATATCCAATCTTTAACCTCCTTCAAAACCCTTGTGTAAATATCTGGCCCAGGAGTCTTATCGTTTTTTAAACTTCCCAATTTTTTTTAATCAGATGAATATTAATGCAGTCATCTTGTTTGATCTCATTTTGATTTATCAACTGTTAAAGATATGGAACACTGCTTAAATCTTTGTTAGTAAAAACCAAAGAAAAAGCAAAATTTAAAACCCAGCCATCTTATAATCATCAGATTCTCTCCTTCCTTTATCATCCATAAAGGATCCTACCCCCATTCTAACATTTTGTTTACCCTTAATGTATTCAAAGAAATCCTTACTGTTAATTTTTACATTTTAGTCAACCTTTTAGTCAATAATGTCTGACATATCTACAGTTGTAAGCAGTTCCTATTTTGTTCTAGAGTATCAAAATTTTGAAGCTGTTAGCGTACGTTTCACATACGTGATTCCATGCTACATATTTTCTTCTACCTTTACTGTAAATGGTATCAGTATCCAGCGTATCGACTAGAGTATACTGTATGGAATGAAATTTCTGCTAACCTTCATCTGTTTACACATCATGCATGTCAGCTTTACTCAGTACACAGATTTATGCAGTTGCCTTTTGAGAAATTTACCCAAAATCATTAGTAGTATGACTCAAAAACTTAGAAAACTGTGGACTTTTAGTTTCGGGCTGGGACCAGTTCTTGATATCTGTAATATTTTCAGTTCCAGTGAATGTACTGCCCCTGCCTATCGTATGACAAACAATTTTTATTTCTGTACAACATACTATCTCAAACCTTTCTGGTTTCAGTTTTATCCTGCATTTTTGATATGCTCAAACATCATTCTCAGGTTCCCAGTAGCAGCCTGAGAGATGCAACCATAAACCGCAGAGGTGAGAATCTTGCTAATTATAGTCTTTTCAGTATAAACTTCATCAGTTTCTTGAAAGTGGCAGGTAACTTACACAAATTGAATGACATGGTGTTGAGTTCATACAGTGTTTCCTATGTGCCAAAAATATTCTTAGGTCTATTTTCATTATCTAGATCAAAGTTTCAGTAGCTGGAAACCATGTCTAGTGCATTGAACTAATGAACACATTCCTGCATGTCCAGAGAATCATCCATCTGTGGTAAGAAAAGGCATTAATGTGTATTTCCATGCCCATCTGCCTCAGCTCCAGATAGAACCTTGGCATTCCTTTCTTTCTGTTAATAACATCAATAAATGGATACAACCAAGCACTTTCTAAAAGTTATATTGTCCGTTTTTTCAGTACCTGTTTAATTTCAGCACTAGCTTCATCATTTGTACTACAAGACAGACATCTGGTCCCATAAATATAGCCACTAAATTGTATCAATAATTCACCGAGTTCCTGTTGCTGTTCAGAGTTTACATTGTTAACACAATCCTCAACAGTGGTGTTATATGTTTTGGAAGCCATGAATTTTCAGATGCAGCATCGTTACAGTGACTCCAGTAACATGGCTGTTCTGTGATGTTTCTTTTTGTTACCAGACCAATAATCATTCCAGATACTGCATTTCTGGTTGTCTTCAATTACAGATAAGCATTGCCAAGTGCCAGTAGTTGAACAAACAACTGTTCAGCAAGTTCAGTCTTATTTATGAACAGAAAACACTGTTTCATGCACCAGTTATTTCATCTTAGCAAATAGCAACAATGCATTAGATTGCACTTGTAGTGTACCATGTAACACAACTTGCACATTCAGAGGTACCCAACCTCTTTATCAGTTAGCATGCTTGTAAGTCACTGTTCTTAGGTCTAGTTTGATCTCTGTATTAGATAGCCATTCTGTTGATCTGCAGTTTACCTTTGCACAAGCAAAACTAGCTAATAGCTTATGCAATAGGTCCATTCAACTGCTTACACCACAATCAGAGACATTGGAAATGTACTAACTGGCCTGAGTGTTGGCTTCATTCAGAGTTTCTGATACATAGCAAGGTTATGGCTGCTCCAGTGTCAATAGTAACTCAATCTCTTGTCCAGATCCCCTTTTACTGTTGCTTCAAACATTAATGAATTAAGCTGCTTAACATTCTTTTAAAATACTGGTACTGTTACCAGTGTGTCTACTTCTGTGTGGCTGAGATATCATTAGTTTCTGGAATAGAAGCACTCTTCTTTTGGAAGCCCTGAGAAACATACATCCACAGGAATTCAGTGTCCTTAGGTGAGGTCAGCAGCAGAATGATGTGATCTATAAAAATGCACATCATTATTGTGTTTGTCTTTGCCACTGAATGTAGTCTTGATCAATGCCAGTCAGTTTTGCTGCATTAGAAGGCTCCTGACTGCTGCAAGGATTTATAGGATCATAACAAGATTTTGGCTATAGTACCCAACTGTGTTGCAGTTCTCCTGGCAGACTTTGTCTGCTGTATGCATCTTGTGTCTCTCCTAGATTAAAAGCAATCATACCCAGCACTTGGCAATGCCTGAACAATCAGTATGTATCTAGGTGTCCCATAGAAACCACCTAGATTGTTCCCAGGTTGGTCATCTTCATTGTATCCTATCTTTGCATGCAGGAAGTAACCTTGAGGAATCAAATTGGTGTGGCAGCCGAGGTGTCTCCTAGCTGTTTCTCAATCTCTTTGTATCAGGGACTGATTGAAAATACATACATTTTTATCACCATGACTGGCAAATACCCTTGGTCTTGGAGAGTGTTTTTCTTATTCTTGCTGCACATTTAAATTGTGTCCTTATTTCAACTGCAGTTTTCTCCTCGCTGCCATATGTTAAACATGATCTTAGGAAACAGCTTTTTGTGTTTCAGTGTCCCATACTTTTAGAGTGCTTACTTCAATGATCATTTTAAAGGAGATAACTTCCTGCTCACGATAACTAGTTAAAACTTTATATCACCCCTCCCTTCAGATGTGGCCTGTAAACAGGGAGACCATAATTGTGTTCTCTTTATGGGTTGTCACTTAGTAGTAATGTTTCTGTTTTGGTGGTGTTATTTAGCAGTAATGTTTCTTTCTATGTAAAAATCATTGCTTGGCAATAATTTTATGATTAGATTTTTTTTTTTCTTTACAGACCTGTTCAGATAAGGAGCATTTGCTCAACAATAATGTAATGCTTAGGAACAGTTTCTGTACAGTGAGTTTCTGGGTCGAAGCTGTTTCTTGATGATGGTGTTCTGTTTATGAGTTGTTTCTCGCGAATAATGTTCTGTTTGAAGATGTTATTTGATAATGTTTTTCTTATCTATAAAAGCTTATGATTAACAATAATATTCTGATAAAGAGCTATTATTTAATGATAGCTTCAAAATATAGCAAAATTAATGAGTTTGGTTTTTAGTAACTACATTTTTTTTAAATATTAATTTGAAGAGATATTTGTCTTTCAGTAATTAGAAAAGTACCAGCTTCAAAAAACATTTAGCCTTTAGCAATAAAGACAATCACAAGAAATAGTGTACAGTAGATTTTGACTCTTATGAAGTAGAAGACCAATCATATTAGTTTTGAGGAGTTTCTGAATGTCAGTAATTAGAGTAATATCAGTACCAATAATTTTCTGTTTGTGAATAGTTAAAACAATCAGCATTGAAAAAGTGCTACTTTTATTGACTAAAGATATATTACTGTTCTGGAATAATTGCATTGGCTAAGGTTGTTTATTAATGTTTTGGTATTATTGCCATTTGTTAAAAGAATACACAAAAGGTTGTGTGCATTATATTAAGACAGTTTTTGATATCCAAATCTCATGACAAGTGAAGCTAATATAAATTCATGATGAAAGTGGAATGAAATGTATTAGACTATATGTTAATATTGTTTGTTATTTTGTCAGTAGTGTGATGCCACCGAAAATTGATCACTTTTAGGAATGGTATGGAACAGTCCTTTCTGACACAAAATGTTAATATAACTCAGATAATAACAATGTTTTCAGATAAGAGATTTAGAATTTCCAAGGCAAGAATAGCTCTTGTACTTAATGGCATTAGAAAACAAAGGAATATGGATCAACTTGCCAGAACCATCCAGAAAGAGACCTGCAACAAGTCTTACTCCAGCCGTGATAAGTAAAGTGCAGCATCTTCTAACAGGTGAGAATCCACAAACACAAAGTTAGTGGAAAACACCATCCACATGCCTCATTCAGCAGTTCACATTATAATGAGGAGGAATCTCCATCTGGAAAAGCTACACAAGTTACTTCCACAACATACAACCATTCAACTGTAGCATTCCCCAAGCAGCTGCAGAACAAAATAGATATTCTTGCTTTACCTTATGAAGACATACCTGTTGAGTAGCCAAATGCAACCTCTGAATTTCTGTGTGATCAGACTGTTGAAACAAATTCTGGTAAACTATCATCTTTGTACACTAGATGGATTATGGAAAGCATGGGTGGAGTAGTGGTGTTTTTTTGACAAGATAGGCTTGCGTTGGAGCCTTTTGCAATGTAAACTATGCTGCAAATCTATTGGCAAAATGTACAACCATAAATCAGAGCAGGAATTCTCAACCTGTATACTACCATGGCACCCTTATTCGAAAATGTATTTGCAGTGGAACCCTATCGTATATATATGAAAAACACATTATATGTATTATATTATTATTGCAGGTGAAATTGAAACATATCATCAGATTAAATATGAAATTTAATATTATATAAGTTTGAAGTTCTTAATATTATAAAAATAAATAGTTAAAAACAACTTCATCTCCCCCAGTGTGAAAATTGTGAAATCTTGTTCTCTAGTCATCACCTCCTCTTTAGTTTATTTACCTCCTCTCCAAGAATTAAAATATTTGACATATAGTAGCCTCTATTATATCGTTTAGCTGACGTGATAGAAAATTTTTATATCCTTCAACCTTACTTGTCCAAAAAACAATCCAATAAAAATTCAGACTCCTGTCATATCCTCTCTTTTACAATTTGCTAATAGGTTTCCCTGACATCCATCCTCATTATATTTATAACCAATAGAAAGGCTAGATTTCAACCCATCAATTGCCATTTCTTTTCTTTTTTATCACTTAGAGAGCCAGAAAAATTGTGACAGTTACAGAACAGTCTCAGCTTTTTTTTATATTACTACCATTAGAGATTTTTTTTTCTTGTGGAACCCCTGAAACCACTCCATGGAACCCAGGTTGAGAAACCCTGAATTGGAGCATAACCACCTATGTTGAGGCTTTGAAATTGTTTTAATATGATGTATTTAACCTATGTATTATTGATTTTAGATAGCTACTTATTATCAACTTGAAGAATCAATTACTGTTTTGGACTAGAATATTATATTACTGTTTTATTGTTGCTATTTGTCAATGGATAAAAAATACATTACTGTTTAGGAGCAATTGGCTACTCAGTAACTAAAATAGTATATTAATGTTTAGGAATACCTGGTTATCCCTGATTAAATGACTATATCAACCTAGTAGAGCTATTGCCCTACAGTGGCTACAGTAATATTTTACTGTTTTGGAGCTGTTGTTTGTCATGGACTAAATATGTAGGTATGTGACTTCAAGCACTTACCACCAATCAACATCAAAGTTTAGCTTTAGCACATCATTATGCAAAAAACCAAAAACACTGAAATTGTATTGAAAAGTGTGTAGCATTAGATTATTGGATATTTATAAAATTCTCATTGTGCCTTACTGTTTACTGTAGCCTGAAGCTAAAGAAGTAAAATTGTCTAATTCCGATAAAGAAGATTCCAGTTCAAGGTCACTTTCTCCTGGAAGAATTGCAAAAAAACTCAAGCCTTTCAGCTGGTCTGCGTACTTGGATCAAGAAAAGGCTAAGGCTGTTCCAGCAAAAATGTTTCGAGATGTAAGGAATTATTTATTACTCTATTTGTGTTTTACTTTCTAACTTAGCATTTATTCTTATTTTCATAAATGATGCTATACTATAAGTTAATAAGCATTATTATCAAACTGAAAGCACACTGACATTAAGTAATTCACTTATCACTGTTTTGAAGTTTTCATTGAGCATTAATGCTAAGTTTAAGCTGGTTAATTTAAAAGTTTAATGATTGTGAGAGTTCTTCCTTAAAATTACACATATGAATACTTTGTATTAATTCTTAAAACTATACAGATGTGTTCACTGAGTTTTATAAAAATCATTAACTTTGAGAATTTTTATGATATTTCAACATTTTGATTTATATATATTTTGTAGTTATGTGATGGTAAATAGAGTGACAAAAATAACTGATTTTATTTTTCAAGATACATACAGTTTTTCAAATTATTTAACCATAGTTTATGATTGATGGCTGGCTCCATTTCTTTTGTCAGAGCTGAAAATATCTGTCTTTTGACAATACTAATGGTATTTTGTGTAACTATCCCAGAAATAGTTGGAAAATGTTCTTTATTGTGCTTTCTGATGATACAGATATTTTTTCTCAAAAATGTAATTTTTGAAATTTCATGTATTTTTCAAGCTCTTTAGTTATTTATAGTATTTTCTCAATTTTTGATTGCAACTGTCCAATAAACTATGCATATGGCTAGGTCAAAGTGTGCATGTCACAACCTTCTTACAGAGTTACATTTAAAGTTGACTTAAAAAACTTTATTATTAATATATATCAATAATAGTTTATAATTCAAACTTTGGTATTAACTAAGGTTTCATTTCTTAATTTCAAAGGGAAATATATAAATAAATTCTCAGTCTTCACTTCTCTGTGTCACATGATGTGTCTTGCTCACTGAATTGTCCCATATATTTTCTTTCTTCCTTTTATAAGTTTCAGATTGTCTGACCAATTAGAAATATGCACTATAGATAGTGGTAGGCCAGCATATAAAAGTTTAACCTTTTACTTTCATGGTTTGCCGAGATATCAATATATTTGTCAAAATCACCAGAGGCTCCTCCTGTTTTATCGTAGCTTTAGGATAGTTGTCTAAACCACATGGTATGTATTAATGGACATGTTTATTACTAACAGAAAGATCATTTTACTGGATTCTTGCATTCCTTTGCTTAATTTTGGCAGTCAAAGTTGGCAGTTTGTAAGAAAATCTTGTTGAGTTTTGACTAAAGTCATTGCTCAGAGTAGTAATGGAATTTTTTAATCTTTTTTAAATCTTAGTTAGAAAGCCATATTAGTTTTGAAGTATTTTCTTCTGGTGACTTTTAAATTTTGTGTTCTAAAATGCATTTTTGAAATGTTCATGAATTATGTTTTGGACAACTATTATAGAAAAAGGTTACTGAAGCATGGCATCCAAGTGCAAATGGTTTAGATGACTAAAGTAAGAGTAAATATCTTGTTTTTATGTACTTTTTTATTTAATATTATATTTTTAACAAAAGCAACAAAAGTGTAAAATTAGAAAATTATTAGGTTAAATAAAATGACAAAATTAAAAAATGAAATTTCATGAGATCAGCTTGTACTATGTGCATTGCATGATTGTAACTTGATTGTTTTTTACACTCCTACTGAAATTAATTGCTTTTCACATAACGAGATAGTGTCTAAATAACACTGCAAAGCAATAAAATGTTGAAAGTTAAGGCTGTTAGGATAAATAATTGTAATTACCTGTTACTATCTGCAATCATTCTTGAAGAATAAAAAGTATTATTGATTTTATTTAATTTTCAACTTTTCACTATACACTGATTGTTCTGCTAAATTTAGTGTTAGGGTAGAGAAAATGAGATATAAGGAATAAACTTTTACCCAATGAACTTCTGATATACATTTAGGAGGTTCTAGAGGTTATGAAAATGAAATATAAAAACTGTAGGATGAAAAGAAGTATTTTTATTCTCAGCTTGAAAATCACTCTGCACTCACTCAGACTTAGTAAAGGCTTCATAAATTCACAAACAGATCTTTATTAAAAAATACGTGTTAAATAATCTGATTTTTTGCATGCAACAGACATGTAATTTTATTAAATATTATTAACCCTATGCATACAAGTTTGTTATTTCTAAATTTAAACATCTGAAAAGCATATTAACTCTATGTATACAAGTGTGTTATTTCTAAACTTAAACATCTGAAAACATATTAACTCTATGTATACAAGTTTGTTATTTCTAAACTTAAACACCTAAAAAGCATATTAACTCTATGTATACAAGTGTGTAAGTTTAGAGATAACAAACTCTTGCAATTTGTATTTATTCCATATTAGTATAAGTGTGCTAAGAACTTGTATTCAGAAAGAAGTGAAACTCCAATATCTTGTACATGATTTCTTAAATTAAATTTATAGCATGTCCCATTAAATGAAACAAAACAAAAAATCAACACAATTTTTAAAAGTAAGTTTAATTGCTGTTAACAAAGCTCTCAGTTTTTATATATATATATATATTTTTTTTTTTTGACATTTAAGTTGAAATATTTTTCATTCTTTGAAGTTAATCAATCACAGATGCTTGTTTTGTATCCATTATAGGTAAATGTTTTAATCAAGAACCTTTAGGATTGTTTTCATGGTCCAATATTTATTCAGGCTGCTTTCTCTAGAATAATTATATTAGACAAATTATTCATGAACTTGCTATAACTTAAATGGTTTATTGTTGTCAGATACATTTGATAAAGAAAATCAAAAGCAACTTACATTCAAGTATTAACCTCATACAGAAATATATTGGGAATGAAACTTAAAGAGATCTCTGTATTTAAATTTAATTTCAAAGTGTAGTGGATAAACTTATACAAGGATAAATCATGAGAGTGGAAAACCACATTGGTGAGCAATGATTATTGTGATGTTAATCCTACTTTAATATACTAACATATTTCTATAATTTATCCATATGGAAATCTCCCTACTGGTTCATTAATGGTTGAATAATAAAGTGGTAGAAAAATAGGGACATAGTAATATGTTTATCTTAAGTTTTTTTTATAGTTTCAGAGTTTTCCTCTCACAAAAAATGGTTTTAAAGTTGGGATGAAGTTGGAGGGAATAGATCCTCGTCACCCTTCAATGTTCTGTGTTCTTACCATCACTGAGGTATGTGGTTTTCGGCTGAGATTGCATTTTGATGGTTACTCAGACTGCTATGACTTCTGGGTGAATGCTGACTCACCAGATATATTCCCAGTTGGATGGTGTGAGAAAACAAGCCACAGGCTGCACCCTCCAAAAGGTAAAAAAAATCTGCAAATTATTATCTAAATCCTCTTAAAAGTAAGAAAATACAGATGAGTATGTCCACCTATGATTAATTTGATACAGCAAGGTAATGGTTAATCCTTCTGCATATAAAGTAAATACAGAAAATGTCAACCCTCCTGCATTAGAATAATACAACAGGCTATTACTTAACTTCCTTAGGTGTAAAAGTATAACAGGCTATTGGTTAACCTCCAGTATCTTATTGGTTGATTTTCTTGTTTATAAAGTTAATACAATAAGCTATTGATTAATCCTTCTGCATGTACAGTTAATACAGCAGGCTTATGGTTAGTCCTCTTGCATGTTTAAAATAAATGTGAAGTTCAATCTGTCATTCAGTTTACCACTCATCATTGAGTTATTTATACCAGTTTGGGAGTATTCCATTCTTCATCTGTAACCCTAATCCAGGGCAAATCAAAAGAACAAGATTATTTTTGGTGAAGTATATATTATATGTATGGTGTTCTGAGATACCTGGTTGGCATTATAACTCAATGACAAGTTGTAAATTAAATAATATTGTTACATCTGTGTTCGTTTGTTAATTTTTTGTAGAAATACTTTCCGAGAAACTTCAGCGATACAAGTCTTTTCTTAAATAAAACTAGTTTATTCTTTCTCAATTCAACTTTGCAATACACTTAATTTCCACAGTCCCTTTAACTTAAACACATGCTATAATTCTCAACGAACGATTCACGCACTTTACTTACTACCGTGCTTGACTCAACTGTCCGTCTATATCTTCAGTCTCTCTGTCTGCTATTCAATTGTTGCCGTCACTTTATTTGCCGGCTTATATAATATAAGAGCGCCATTCTAGCAACCACTAGAATGTTCAACAAGTTCCTCGATCTTTCTAGATATTCATTACGTGTTCACAGTCATGTGACCTCCGCTGTCATAACACTGCCCCTTCCTTAGTATTGTTCTTCCGAACAATAGCCACTTAAATTAAACCAATAGATGATTAACAATAACTTAATTAAATGTACAGAAGTTACAAATACAAAATTAAAATTCAACAAAGTGTCTTAATTTTACGGGATGTATCTTCTGTACTGGTCTCTGTCTCATTGGCTTCTGCTTCACGTGAAGTTCATCTGCTCCATCAGAAAATGTCCTATTATCGGTAATAGTCACATCAGTGGTAGTAACTTCATCAAGGGCTTCACTGTTTCCCTTCTCAAAACCGAGTAGAGTTTCTTCTTCGACAGTGGCTTTTCCAGGTGACACGTCTTCAGCAGCGTCTTTTGTTCCACTGTTCACTTCATCCCAACTATGTCATATGGGCCTTCCCATGGAGAAGACAACTTAGGAGACTTCCCTTTGGTCTTCCTGGGATTATACAACCACACCTTGTCTCCTGGTATAAAGCTGACTTCAGTAGATCTTTTATCATAACATAGCTTCATGGATTCAGCAGACGTTTTCAAGTTTGAACTCACTTGATGATGAATATCATCCGTCCTTTCAGATAACTCTTTTCATGAACTCTGACACATTTTCAGACACTCTTCATAAGGTGGGCGTCCTGTTATCAGATCCACTGGCAACCGAGGTT